ATCTCTCTTCTTCCCATGCGCAGGGGAAGTTCTTGACCGCCGTACCATGAATATAGCGTTGTATCCGGATAAGTACATGGCAGGAACATCAGACATTTGACACGAAAGATGCTCGCTTTCACTTTCTTGCACGTGACAAACAGAGAATATCACGATCATCGTGTTTTAATCTTCAGCTTCGACTTCAGATGCCCCCAGACTTCCAAGCAAAGGGTACAAAGCAAATTTAGATGACCAATGTATTCTCGTACCGCTTTAGCTTGAAGCCCGCGATCGAATTTGAGAGAAAGGAGTGAGTTCAATCAACATCCCGCGCGGGTATGAACGACCCGCAAAGACTCCACCCAAGAATGAAGTCGTATCTGCACATAGATTCTTACCTATAACGATCGTCCGCCGGTATACTGAGGCACGACAGCAACAAAATCCTACGTGTCCGCTACAGAATTGAACAGGGACCCCGCCGAAGCAGGGGAGATAGGGGAGAAGAAGAAAGGGGGAAGAGCGGAATAACGAAACACCATAGACCCTTTCGTACACAACCAACTGGCGCTGTGCCGCACCCATATTTGTAGCCCCCGGTCTGTCACTCGATTCAGTTCGTAGACCTGTTCCGTGGCCCGCCAGGCACTCAGAGTCGAGACTCGAGAGCTCTGTTTCCTCAAAGATCCCAGCGACATGGTTCTCAAAGTGGGGGTCTGGCGCAGCATGCGACTGCGACTGCTGCGCTGCTGCATGGCAATTTGTGAAATATAAAATAAAAATAACGCTTTGATGTGAGACAACCGTTGTACGTTCGCTTGCTGGGATTCGGTAAAAAGCCATGTGTGCCCATGGGGTTTTTTGCCTATGCCCCTCCTAATGCCCATATCGTACACGAATACTCCGTACATCAGTCGTTCATGCAAAACCAAAAACCAACACCAGGAACGCCAGCTGTGGTTGCAATCGGCAAATCTCCCCTCTCTTCTACCACGAGCACAACGTTTCATTCACATTCCACACACACACTGAAATTCAAATTGGGAGTGGTGGCTTCGGCGCTCCTCGAAAAAAGTTGAAAAGTGACAGCTTACCTATACCTTACAACCCCCCCTGCTTCTCCCTCAACACAACGTCGGAAAGCCTTAAGAGGGTTAGCAACTTTTTCACACTCTGGAGTCTCGGAAGCCTGAAGGGGTAATAGAGTGGATATCCTTTGCTTAACCCCCAGAATCCCGGGGGGTAACCGTTTTGCTGCCGCACAAACGTCTAGTGTGCCTGACATAGCCGTGTGTTCCATGGCGAAGCCCGTCGCACTCGCAGAAGGGGGCCCATCTGCACAACATCCCATCCTTCCCTCCATCTCATCTCGTGGTGAACCCCCCGGGGTTCACCGTTTTAGTGAAGAATTCCGCTGTTCGGACTGTGAGATTTTACTCACCTCGTTCGAACCTCGTACTCTCGTAAGGCTCGTCCAGCTGTAAGTTGCCGTTTCGATGATGAAGGAGAACATATCCATTCCCTCGACGCTGTCAAGTACTGGAGACTGGCTAGTTGAAGAAGGGATAGGAAACATAGACCGCTGTCTTGGTCCTTTGATATCCGTATCAGTATTAGGACTGACTTGCTCTCCCCGCTGCCGCTTTGCGCCGGCGAACAAGATGGTGGTGGACATTGTCGAGAAGTTGAGAAAGAGCCTATGTATGAACAAGACTGCGCTTGAGAAAGGGCAACGAGTCGAGCAGAAGCCAAGGCTCAGCTGGCTGGCCCGCCACATGTTCAACACAAACGAACTTGTATTGGGAAGCTGCAAGAAGTCTGTTCGTTGCTCCAGGCCCCGGCCATATCACGTCGGACCACGGGCAAGGGTTTCCACCACGCAGCCACGCTGCGCAATAGAGTGGGAATGTCAATAAGCTTTCGGTCAGGTACTCCGTCCTCCCACGATCCACTAATGCGCCTCCATTGGAAAAATTTCGCAGCGGTGTTGCGCCAGAACAGCCCATTCTTTGATCTCGTGTGTTGAGATGAACATCATCAGGTGATTGGTTTGAGGCGTGAGGGTAAAGGCTCTTTCGAGAGTGAACAGCAATAGCCAAGTCCTGAGGCGGTTAAGAGTGTTAACAGTGCGGCTCTGGCGCGAAGACAAAAGAAATCTTCGGGAAATATCTCTCTAGAAAGTAAAGCTTCGGTATCAGGTCTCGGTCCTGAAGTCGTAGGTTGCTGGTCTTTACCGCCAAGTTTGGCTTCGCCTCATCCTGGCCGACAGGGTCGTTCTATAGTAAGTCTCCTGTCGGAGAGGGGCTCGCGACCAGGAAGTTCGCAGCAAACATACATGATCCAAATCAAGGATCCTGTGATGATGCGCATTACCATTGCAAAGGATCGGCACGGTGCGCAATATAGTTCAGTCCAGGAAAGAGGTACACTTCCATGGTGATGATGAGCTGGTAAAATGCCGCGACCCAAGTGCGTGGGAGCTAACCAGACGTTGGCTACAAGTAATGTATGTTCAGTGCCACCCTGCATGGCTCCTGTGCGTCTTGTCGCCCGCATGTAGACGCGGGTCGACTGTCAGATGTAAGTGAACTTGTGTGCGTGTGTGTGCGTGCGCCAGAGACCGAGAGGGAGACGAAGTGCGCGTGTGTGGAAAGAGTGTGTGTGGTGCCGCCGTATGCAAAACATATATAAGCGAATGCATCCTGTTCCTCCAGGACGATGGAGCCGACGATCAACAGGAGAGAAAAACTTTGTCGGCAGCAGATAGCTCTTTGGCAACCGGAACTACTCAGCCTCTAGAGACCCCCGTGTCGCGTTGCAATCCAGAACCCACCGTCTGTTCCTCGTCATTCGTCACATTGCACACTCCCGACATTGAAACTTGGCAGCCCCAGTTTCTCCGTCACAACATTCTCGACGGGCCGAGCCGTCAAACACTACTCGGACGGCTGAACAGTGCCAGACAAGACCGTCTCAACTTCAGGCAAGGTTTTGCGAAGAGAAAGAAAGACCCAGCAAACTCAAACGGTGTACCGAATCATGATTGATACGCCGACGACGCCTAACCGGTCCCATGTCAAGCCGCAAGCAAACGCCATGGCGGACAAGGTCTGCGCCCACAACAAGTTGGGTATCTGCGGTTGCAATAACATAGTACCGTGGAACAAAACCCTATGCGACAGCTGCGAGCAAGGCAATTGCTCGGGTTGAAGACCAAAGGAGCAGCTATATCGGATTCGTGTGCCTGGACAATGGCTTCCCCCCCCCCCTCCATGCTCAAGTTGAGACGCAGTATAAGGGCAACGGGTACGCCACGTTTGAGTCGCATGTGTGGCGCATACAGCTGGAACTTCGACTGGGTTGCTATCGAAGCAAAGGAATTTGTTTTCGAGTTGATTTGGCGCAACGATAATGCGACATATTTCCGGATATCGGCAGCTAGCAGCGGCTATTGCGTGCATAAAATACGGCCGCGAGCGTGATCTGCCGTACTAGGAGTCGGCCGGATAGGTTTTGGGGAGTTCTTTGGCTTTGGAGGGTGGATTTTGTGTCTCGCATTCGGCGCGGTGCGAGTAGCTGAAAAAGGAGGAAAAGGGAATCTCGAGCTCTGCGCTACCATTACACCGCATACATTAATATATTTGCTTACACGTACTGCTGTGCTTCATTCCTCCCACCGATTGAACTGGCAACCATCAGCAAGAGAAGTCTATTGACCTATTCTGCACGATGGAAATCGAAGTGATCTCTGCAGGGGTGCATGCCGCCAGGATCGTGCGCTGTTGATACTCGATTGGCACACAACTGTCAGGAACCGGAGAAGGGGGAGACGACGTCGAGCTTGATATCTGCCATGTAGTACAACGAGGGCCGACGAGCGCAACCACCCGTGTACCACCGGAGATCAACGTGGAAGTGAGGAAACCCATGGAATACGAAGTACTGGTGGTCGGGAAGAGAAGGGAGTTGGGAACAGCAGAAATCCCAACAAAGATGATGAAGAGTCGCCGAATGTCTTTGTTGATAGGCAGACCACAGACGACCTAGAAAGCGGCCCGTTCCTTTAGTAAGGCAACCACGTGGGCGAATCAGCGCGACGAGCCTGCCACGCCTTGCCGTACCGTTGAGATGGTCTAATCTACGGAGTAATACCTACTTACATACCCTAAGGTAAGGTAGGTACTGACGGAGTACCAAGACTGGCGTCTGGAGGCTTGCCATTGGCCCACCTCACAATGAGAAAGAACCAACGGCCGGCAGTGCCTGACTTTGCTTTCATATTGGAGGCTTAGACAATGGTACTGTCTTAGCCACCCATTTCAGACGCTTCCTTCTGCTGCAAGTCAAACCTTCCCAAGGTCTAGAGCATTCGGGACTCATCCTGTCAAGTATGACCCATGTAGGTGCAGGAAAGGAAGCCACTTGCTCTCTGCTTGCAAAATATAGTCCTCGGCTACCCGGACAACGTTGACTTTGAGCTGATCGTGGCCTATCTACGCTTCAGTGGACGAATTGAGCTGCGAGGGGCGGTTACATGTAGAGTATGTTGAAACCCTTCAAATGTCGTGCTTGAATACGCACATGGCGAGTCAGGCAAATATTCGTGCAAACATCTCACATTGAAACGGCCCGATGGTGCGTCATTTCACCAAAGTCACTGCATTCCAGAGCCAACGAGGGGCAAAATGTGAGGTCATCTCAGGTTCGTGTCATTCAGAAAATAGAGTATGAGTATGTGCATCATCTGTCGGGTATGTCTGCAATCATGTCCCAGTAGGTATAAACTCCTCCAACTCATCCGACACCCAAACAATAAGTCTATGGCTAGAAGTGTAAGGCCACCCGGTAGCCGAGGCTCCAATCCGCTTTCCAAAACACCTAGAATCGTTGATAAAATAAAAGGTCTCCAATCAGCCTATCCCCTGAGAATAATAGTCAGATCAGTCGTGAATCGAATTAATGTGAAGTGACTGAGAGTTGCGCATTTTGAGTCGCTCTTTTACAACTAGGTAAGCCGTCTAGTTCAGTGCGAGAGCAACAAGACCGACAACGGCGGCCATGAGACCGCTCTGAACGAAGAGACCAGAGCCAGCGCTTGCAGGTGCGGAAGGAACAGCGCTGCCTGCAGAGGTGGGGGCGGAAGAGTCGGCAGAGGTCTTGATGGGAAGAACGGTAGACTTGGTCCAAGGAGCCGAGGCGGTCGGGCCGGCAAAGCTGGTGGAGTTGGCAGCCGGGTAGAAGTGGGACGATGACGACGAGGACGACGACGAAGAAGAAGAAGAAGACGAGGTGGAGGTGGAGGTGGAAATGGGAGTGGAGGTCGTCGAGCTGATGGTAGGCTCAACAGTCGAAGTCGGCGTGTACAAGGGGCAAGCAGTGTTGGTCGGGTTGCACTTGGTGATGGTAACCGTCTTGGTGGTGGTGGCGGTCATGGTCGTGGTGCTCTCATCCGCGGACTGGGCGACGGCGACCGAGGCGGCCAGGAGAGCGAAGATGCTGGTGAAACGCATTTTGAACGATGTGGGTTGGATAAGTTATGTATGCTTTGAGAATCGGTGTAAGTCAATGTATGACCAAAGCTGACGAGTTTCCACCGGGCTGGGTTGTGTGCGGGCGTGCAGGACGTGTGCTTTTAATGAATACAATGTCCAGGGAATGACGGTACTGTCTTGTCGATATTGATAAATCTGAATGAGAGTAATGTGCAGCGAAAAAGGCACGATGACGAAGAGCAGTTGCAAGAGAGTGTGGGCACTGAACGCAGCGGTAAGGAGAGCAACGGTGAGGAAACAGAAGCGAGAGTGTAAGGCGTGTGGGAGGGGGCAGGCGAGGTATTTCTCCTTTTCACGACTCGGCCGAACAACCACGACACAGGTCCTTTGAGTCCTGACTCCTCCTACCGCCCCCGGCGCCCCGTCTTCAGTAGGACTGTGTGGGCTACCAGCACAAGCGCCGCTGGGCGTGTGGGCTGGCGGTAATTTTGCGAGCGTTGGGCGACACGGCGTTTCCTGTCTCTGGTATGCCTGTGCCTGTAGGGTCCCGTCCCGATGGCCCCCATCCCTCCCCGTTGTCCCCCCGTTGGTCGTCAACGCGGCCAAAGGGAAGGGTGTGTGGGTGGCCAGTGAGTGCGCGAGCGAGGACATGGGGGCCAGACTCGTCGCTCTGTGCGCTTTGCTCTTGCTTTTTTTTCCTAGTGTTATTATGCTAATAACCGCTACCAAAGCTAGCAAGCCGAACGACCCAGGGGCAAAATGACCATGGGGTCTTCCTTGCCTTGCCTTGGGGGAATGCGACGCTGCTTTCTGCTGTAGTGCTGATCCAACTGTCAGAGTTGTGAGAGAGTCCTATCCGTACCACAGTACTCCGTACGAAGTGGAGAGGAGAAGCTGAGCTCGCTGAGGAGCGGAGGAGATGAGACTCGGAGACACGACAGGCTGATCCTTGAACGCTGGAAGATAGGCTATAGCGGACAAGAATGACAAGGTCCGGCTCTTTTCGCGTGTCTCTCTATCTTAGATGTCCCATCGTTAGCACCCAAGCAAGGCATCCGCATCCGTAGCGCCTCGGCAAGGCCAGAGGAGCGCAGAGAAACGTGAGATGAGGCTTGTGGGTGTTGTCCGATGCCCCAGGGCACAGGGCTTGGGTCAACGAGCCAGAAGCGGCTGGTCAGTCCGGGCAACAGCAACAAGGCCCATGGAAGGGATCGTGTCCAAAATTGGGTCCGCAGGACGCAGGATCCCGTCGTTGGTGGTGACCCGGGTGATTGGCTACACAGACATAGCGGTGGGCCGGCACTGCACGGCGCAAGCTTGCGCTTCGCGGCTTCGCTGACGGGACCTTGCTCTAGATTTTCTTGGTCTTCTCAGCCTGTAGCTCCCACTGGTTCGTGCCTGCAGAGCCCTGGCAGATCGCCTCCAGAACCCCTGCTAGCAATATGCAGGAACAGCGTATCCTGGCTCATTGGAAAACAACTCATCCGAACTTGTGAGCAGATGGCAGAGTCAGGACCAGTCAGAGCCGCCATAGAATCTCAAGGTCATCGTTGACGCCAAGACATGGTCGATGCTGCGTTGTTTGGTTGCCATGTTTCTTTTCCTTTCGCTGGCTTGCTGCACGGGGCGACCGGGGACGAGGCAGCAGACTTGGGTGTTGGATCCCTCTCCGTCGGAACGTGGGCGATGTGGGAAATGCGCTTGCCAATCATTGCCCAGCAAGACCAAGGATTTTCATTGTCATCACGTCTTTTCCATTCCCCCACAGCGTAAATGATGCTGACTTTTGTGTTAGGACTCAGAGCTGTTACTTGATGCCGTAAATATTGCTTGGGTGCCGCCATCGTCCTCGGGAATCAAGCTATTGCTCTGCGCTCCCGCCATGGCGCCAACGCCGTTTGTTTTCCGTCGACCGGTGGAAAATCTGCTAGTCTAGAGGAGTCGACGAAAGATCTAGCTCGTCCTAAGCCACTCGGCCGGTTTATTTCGGGATCGTGCGACTGCAGGGAGAAGCACAGCATTTGCGCAGGCGCTGGCGTGGTTTTCGGCGGTTGACAACAGGCACACCATCAAAGGTGTCTCCGTCTGCAATGACGATGTGCGTCGTCTCGTTGTTATCGCTCAGCCGATTGAGATTCAGGTCTCTCTCTCTCTCTCTCTCTCTCTCTCTCTCTCTCTCTCTCTCTCTCTCTCTATTCTTTGTTCGGTCATTGCGCGGTTCCATGGTGTGACCCAGAGCCTGGGGTCCTTGGAGAGAAACATGGATCAGATTGACCCTCGCCCAGCCAATCCGGTGACGTTGTCTTGGGTAACCATAAGCTGCTTCCAGAGTACTTCCCTGTCGCAGCACCTGCGAATCGTTGCGAGAAATGATCTCGATCATGGGGAGGGTCCACCGCCATTTCCCGTTCAGAGGGGAGGAATCATGGATATGTAACGCTTTGGAGGGTGCCAGTATTTTCGAAGCAAGGGCCCAGGGAATTCCTCATCCAGCTGGCTCAACCAGGTTCAGAAGCGTAGGAGTCGTGGGTGGCTTCTCTTTTTGCGAGATGAGGCCAAGGTGCCAATAAGTGGGCTTTGTGAGAGAAGAAGAAGAAGAAGACGACGGTGATGTAGAATGCCCCTCCGAATACGGATTCTGACAGCGATCGTCAGCGTCACAGAGTATCGTCACAGCAGTCTGACCCAGAGTTGGGGATGCGAATGTGTTGTGGCTCCATGGAGGGGCTCCCGTTTGGGGAAAATAAATGGCTACTTTGATACCCGAGCGCCAGTAGTTCAGGCTGACTTTCCGAAGCTGAATTAGAACTTTGAAACAGTTGCTTGTCGCTTCGAGACCTTGTCGTCACATCGTGCGATTGTGTATTCCGCCTCCACGCTGATTGCAACAACGGCAATGACCTATCGTGAATTGTTTGATTGAGGAGTCGGCTCACTGCAAGGAAGCCCTTGCTGCGGTTGTTTGGGCGCCCTGTTGGGGCTGTTTGCAATGAAGTGTGAATGACTTCGTCAACCTATTCAACGGCAAAGTCGGCGTGCTAGTGACTGCACATAGGCCATTCAGACGGTGTCCCATTGAGTTTGCCATTGTGTCTGTTCAATCGCCGGCAAACCGGCTGAATACTAGATTTGTTCTTATGCTCAGTTTGGTGTCGCCTTTAGCGCTCGAGGCACTTCAGGGGTTTCCCACATGGTTGTAGCTTGCTGTTGGCTGCCATATCATATGGTGCCAGTAGAACCTGCCAGTAACAAGATGTATGTCTAATGGGTGGCAAAAGGACGGACGTCAACAGCTAAGCATCTTGACTTTTGTCTTTTCGTTGTCGTTGGGATCAAGAAGCCTTGGGCTTGGGATGCCGAGTAGGTATGTACCTCTTCCGTGTGGAAACAGATGAAGTCGCAGTGGTGAAGTACCTGGCATTGTAGTCGTGTTGAAGGAATATTGTGGCAGTGATGCTGCCTGGAGATGTCAACCCGAAGATGCATGCGGGACATGCGTAGAGGAGGTTGTTTAATGACTGTAAGGCGACGGCACTGGAGCCCTGGACACGAACATTCGATAGCATAGGTAGGAAGGAGCCAAGTTGGCGATGGGCGGCGCTTATCGCGTGACGCTTTCCACTTTTGAACACCTCATCTTGCAGCTTTGTTTTGCCAGCGCATTTGGGAAGCCACCCAAGTCCTGCCACTTTTTAAATCATCGACTCATCGGGCGCAGCTGCTTTTTCAAGAGTCTATACAGGCAAACAAGAGGTAAAGAAAACGGGAGCCTGAACATCTTCTTTTGATCACCATTGTCACGGCATGGAGTTGAGAGACAGCCAGCATAACTTCCTTACAATATCGCTACACTGTACTCCGTACCTTACTCCGTAAGGTAAGTTATCTTACCCCGCCCCCGCATGCCTTAGGTAAGCTTCTCGACTGAAAGGCAGCGCCACAAGCCGCTGTACGGATAGTGTAGATGAGAGCACTAACAGTCTCCAGCCACGACCCTTCGAGTTTCATCTGCGTGGAACCCCCACCAGCAGCCGCTGAACCGCTACCGGCGTATCATGCAGCACTGCATCGTCTCACTGGAACGCAACTAGCTACATGTCATCGAGAACCCCGAAGAACAATCAGTCACAAGGTACGTAATGCAAGGCTCCCCACCATGCATATTCTCTTCCCTTGTGCCGCCATTCTTCCAATCTGCATCTCGATATTTCCTAAGCTCATACTGATCGAACCTGACCCCTTTTAGCTTCCCAGTAGCTGTGCCTTTTCTCCCCTCTCCTCAGCCTTAGGAGCTCTTCCCTGCATCCCATCGCATCGACCCGCCTCGAATCATACCGAATCAAGCATCATGGCGCAGTTAACTGCAACCACCTTCTCAACCGATCCGGCCCTTTGGATCTTCACTTCCTTGACCGCTGGGAATATGCACATTGTGACCGCCACGTCCCGTCTCGAGACCATTCTGCGCGCCAACCGCGTCCCCTTCAAAGCCATCGATCTCTCCACCGATGACAAGGCCCGCATGCTTTGGGGCCGCCGTGCCGGTAAAGACGCCTCGGGTCGACCCAGGAAGCTCCCAGCTCTCATACAAGAAGGTCTCGTCCTCGGCGTAAGACCCACCCCTTCACTCGGTGCCAGGCAAGGCTTGCCAAGGAGAAACTATCTTCTGACTCCATGATTTCTACTAGGACATCGTCGAGATCGAAGAATGGAACGAATATGGCGAGCTCAAGCAACATGTCAAGATCTACTACGACGAATTCACCATCCCCGATATCAACAACAAACCCAAGGAAATCGTCAAGAAGAAAATCATCAAAAAAGTACCAAAGGGTACGTTGGCAGCGAAAGCTGCTGCCGCTGCCTCTGCATCTGAGTCTTCTTCATCCGCTCCTGCGCCACCGCCGGCGCCTCCCTTGCCCAAGGACGAGGCATCAAGCGCCGCAGCGCCTGCCAAAGATAAGCCGGCCAATACGCCAAAGTCACCTGTCGAGAGTGCCTCTACCGCGTCCCACCAGTCCATTGCCGACGAGGCAGCCAAGAGGGCTAAGGAAATCCGGCTGAAATCCCTGCGCGAAAAGGTACAGGCAGCCGCAGATAAGAGGGCCGAGGGCGAAGCTGCAGCTGCGTCCGCGTCGATAAAGACCGCCGCTGAGCCCGAAAAGAAGGCCGAAGCCGAAGCCCCTGCCGAATCTATGACCGCAAGCCCGGAAACGCCCCGAAAGCCCTCCGTAGCGAGCACTGGCAGTGGTTCGTCAGCCCAGAGCGCTAAGCCCGTCGGCCTCCAATCGCCGACTACGGGCTCTTGGGGTGTCGCTGCCGCCACTGCAACCAACCCAGACGCTTTGCGCGAGACACTTCAGTCGCCGACAACAGCCCGGTGGAAGCCCTCCGATGTCGATAAGCCCGTGACGGTCCACATGGGCGCCGAGGTGGCTTCTGCGTCGCAGGAAGAGATTGCCGCAGTCGAGAAGGCCGAAGCTATCAAGGAGGAGCCTAGTCAGGAGAACTCTGACGAGGAAGAGTCGGATAAGAAGAAGATTGCTGAGGTCGAAAGGGCCCAGATCATCAAGCAGGAGCCAGAGCAGGAGGAGCAATCGAAGAAAGAAGAGGAATCGAAGAAGGAGGAGGAGTCGGAGAGGAGGAAGATTGCTGAGGTCGAGAAGACCGAGGCTATCAAAGAGGAGCCCGAAAAGGAGGAAGCTGAGGACACTACCAAGCCCGTCGTGGCGGGGAAGGCAGCTGCGCCAAAGGAGGCTGCGGCGACCGACAAGACCTCGGCCCCTGCGAAGGGTGCCAAGGCAGCGTCGCCAAAGGAGGAGGATGACGAGGACGAGGACGATGAAGATGAAAATGATAGCGACGACAGCAGCGAGGACAGTGAAGAGGACGAGGATGAAAGTGAAACCGAGACGAAGCCCAAGGCCACTGAGGCGAAGAAGGAGGATGCTGGGGGTCCGAAGGCGAAGGAGGCAGAATTAGCTTCCAGGCCTAAAGCGGCAGAGCCCAAGAACGATGGAAAGCCCGTGGGAGACGCGTAGTTGTTGTCTAAGGGTATTTGGGGCTTAGTGGATGGAATGATGTTGGATGATGTTTCGCAGACGAGACTGGGTCGTTTGATGTTTTTGAGGAGAAAACTTGCAGCTTTCATCTCAGACTGTGACGTCTCCAACTTAGGGGTACGCTATGTTGCCGCGTGGCCTCGTCGAATCCAATGCAGATGTGCTTGATCATAGGTGCACCGTTCTTTAGTATGGTTATCTGTGTGCCCATGTCTCTAATTCCCTTAGTAGTGATACCATATCCCGCGTTATAAGAGCTCATTTCATTACCATTACTCATAGGTTATACGTCTGATGTCTCTATTCCCAAGTTGTGTGTATTCCAATACGCCAACACCGTTTACTCCTTCGCGATACTCGCCGCTCCAAAGATAGCCAAAGCCTGTGTATCTATAAGTCAAAAGAGTATCCCACAAAACAGATCCGGCGTAACTTGACAGGAACCACTGTCACTTCCCGTACGAGTCTGACCTCTATTCGGTCTCGTCGCTGCTAGATTGGCTCTCCTCCACGACCCCGTCAGCGGGCTTCCTCGGCGGCGGCCGTACCCACTGCTCAACCTCCTCGCATGCCATCGGCACCCGGCACGCGTCCCTGACGTCGCACGTCTTCCACAGTACTTCGCGCACCTCCTTAAATACCTGTTCTGGCGCGTCCATGGCCCAGATGACGTCGAGGTGCTCGTACTCGGGTATGACCTTGCTGTGCACGACGTTGACGTGCGGCTCGCGCCCGCGTTCGAAGCGGCGGAGGAGCTTCTTGCCGTCCACGAGGTCGTCGTTTCCCGCAACCCAGAGGGCAAATGGGGGCACTTGCTCGTTGTACCAAGCTGTGGATCCCTTTGGTCTCCGGACATGGTCGTCCACAGTCCGTTGTGACATGACGCCGTCCGCGTCGTCGGCTCGGAGCGTGTGGCTATTGCCGTTGGTGTTGTTGGTATCGTGGCCGTTGATATTGTCCTCTTTCTCCTCGGCGCGAACGTCTTCTTTCGTTGAGAGGATGCACTTGTGTCGCGCGAAGCACTCTCTGCCCAGCCACCAGCGCATCGACTCCGCGCTGACGTAGACGGGCGCGAATTGGAACATGCGATCCTTGAGACCGCGGTCCCACCTCGTGTCCGTCCAGTCAAAGAGGAAAGAAAAGACCTTGTAGCCGAGCCAGCCGTAAACCTTTGGGTGAAGCAGCTGGTGCATCTGCATCATGAAGGGGATGAAGGCATGGATGCCAAACATCAACCTGAACATGCCCGGAGTGATGATCCTCATGAACTTGAAGTACATTTTGCCAATCAAGGGGCCCGCGTAGGCAGCCGGCGCGAGCGCGCAGAATACGGTCAGCTTTTCGCCTAGGTCTGGTCGTTGCTCCTTGGCGAGTGCCACCAGTGTCTGGGTGGTGCCCTGCGAGTGGCAGATCAACCCAATCTTTTCGAAGCCGGTCTCGTAGAGCACGCGCGATGTGAGCGCCGGCAGATCAAAGACGCCCATCTGTCGAATGTTCCAGCACCACATCCTCGGGTCGGTGTACTTGAGTGAGGTGTGCTTTGGCTTGAAGCCGCATCGGTTGTTGCCCAGCCAGACGTCGTAGCCCGACTTGCACAGGTAAAACGCGAGCGAACTTTCGTCGTTTGTGCAATATGCGCCGGAACTTTGTAGGAGACCGTGGATGAGCAGAACAGGGAACTTGCGCTTCTGGTTGGGATCCTTGAGCTTCTTCTTGGAAGACTGGAAGATGTCGGGGCCTCTGTCGGACCTATCGTCTTCGCTCATCCTTGTGTATTCCTTGGGATCGTATACGTGCCAGAGGTCAATGAGGAAGCCGTCCTCGGTCTGCACCTCGATTTCCTCAACATCCAAGCCAACACGGCGAGCGTAATAGCCCACGTCGCAGACGATCGGGTCGGGCCCCCCTTCAGTCGGAACGAACTCGTCGGCAGCCTCGTTCACTTTGCCTAGCCTATCGCTAGTCTTACTGCGCTTCCACCTTTTGTTCTCCTCCTTGCGACTCTTGGCTCTGCGTGCCTCCTCTTCGTGGAAGGGCCTCTTCTTGTCAGGATTTTGCAATGTCAGGCGATATAAGACCCTCTTGCACAGCGGTGGGATGCTGGTGAAGAGCGCACCAAGCACAATGACCCCGAGAAAGGCCAAACTGAGGAAGAATGCCGAAACACGGAATATCAAGCATTGTAAATTGCGAAATATTGACGGAGGCCCGTAGAGAGGTAGAGGCGGAAACAATGGGTTGGTATGTGAGGGAGGTGTTTGGCGACGAAGAGGCGCTTCACCTGATTTCTGCATCGACTTCCCATTTGCATCGGTCGGTAGAGAGACAATCCTCTCTCGTTTCTCTGATATCACGCCGGCGTTTGCGACCTTTCCGTCCGTGTCATTTCCCTCCTTGATCTTGGCCACAGCGGAACCGTCTTGAAGTTCTTCTTTGAGAATGTTCAACTTGTGCGCCTCTTGAAGTGGTACACCCGGTAGTCTCTTGCCGTCCGATGTGACTATGACAGGATCTTGAGGTGTTACGAAGCGGGCTTCGACGGCGACCTCGGAATCGTTGTTGTTACTCTCGCTTTTTTGCAGTGACAGTTTCTCGGCTTGCTGGGCGAACTCGATAGCAGCGTGTGCGACGCCATTGTCGTGCAATCGGTCTCGACCGCGATCCGGGGACTCGGAAAAGTTGCCCATGGCGTCTAGGGGGTTACAAGATGGTATGCGACGGTCGCGCAAGGAAAACGATGATCGACAACGAACGCAAGAATTATACAACTTCGTTTCTGAAGGGATTCGAGCGCGGAAAGGGAGATTGTGGTCGCTTTCTTTGCGCGACTGAATGAGGATTTGAGATGAAGTTGGCAAGATATTGATTGAGGTAGAATTTTGCTTGTCAAAAGTGGTTTTCACAGCCACTGATGGCATGAACAGGCATCACGGAGATGGTGTCGAGGGTTGTCCAAGGCAGGGAAGCAAAAGTGTAGATCCGGGACGAAGAAGGGTGGGAGGGTAGGGGGGTGTGGGAGTAAATTGGGGATGTACGGGTAGGGATATTCAAAGTAATGTCCTCGTCTGGTAATTGGAAAGCAGCTAAAACGGCACGAACGGGTTGGCTGGTGGATGGAAAGGGAGAGAGGCGAACTAGGGGACATTGGAGACCAACAAAGATAAGGGGCAATTTGCAAGTTGCAGCCATTAAAAAGTATTACTCTCGATTGTTGACCAGTCGGTCTCACCGCAAGAATCGTGGTGTGATTGACGTCGATGTTGGTCCAGATCGAATTCCATCGCGCTCATTCTCATGCTCCAGGGTGACATTGACCATGCCTTACGAAGTTGCGCCTCGCATCCCAAGCACGGGTGACGGAAGCAGAGACCTGGAGTCCACGAGGCCCAGCCGCTGCCATTCGAAACTCTGTTTGGCGCATCTCTCAGGCTTCTCTTCCCTGTCAATTTCCTTTGGCTACAGCAAAAAGATCAACAACAAGAGGCGACGGGAGAGTGAGAAATAGGCGCCGACCAGCCGCTGCCGGCTGAGCCTTGAGGTCTCGGAAGCGTCGAGCCAGCCGAAGGCACGGGAAGGAAGAGAGAGACGGGAGAGAGTGCAACTGCAGTCTGCATCTGCGGCTCAGACAGGGAGGAGCCCCGCTTGCGTCATTGCTGTGTGTGTTGTTCGGAGCATTTGCTCAAGGCCGTGCCATGATTGGGTGCCAGTCTCCAGACGCTGTGAAATTACTTGGACGAAAAAGCATGTGACGATCCTGTCTCGTTTTTTCTTTGCGAAACGAGCATCATTGATGTCTACGGGTGCTCAGAGGATCGATGGCATCGCCAACAATTGAGCCAGATGAACTCAATCTTGAACATTTCTACATGTACCATACTATCACTGGAATTGAGTAAATGCGTGGAGTTAAAATCTCGCGACTAGTCTACCAATTGCCTTTCCCTCACTCAAGGTGTCGTCGAAACTTTTCAAGTTCCGCGCGCCTGCCATGAACTTTGCTCATTACATCTGATCATGTACAGATCTTAATCACACTGAGCATCTACAATACGAGCGCGAGTGCTGGTGATGGCTAGATGCCCAATGGCACATCACAAGCAAGCTTAAAGTAGTCATTGTGGTCTCAATGGCACAAGCAATGACTTGTGCTCGCCCAAGTCCATTCTCATTTCATATTGCCCCTATGCCTATACCAGAGATTTGCTTGGGAGGACGTATTTACAACAGAACATTTTCGCGGACATGTGGGCTTCTCTCGTCAGAAAGAGCGACAAGAACATCGCAGCAGGTTCTGCGGTTGCAACCATGCCTTGCAACCCCTGGCTGTGTTTCTATCAAGGTGAGGCTGTGACGCTGTGTGTGTTTTGAACGGAGTAATTTGAACTTTGGAGCCTCTGTTATCTCCATCGACTGGGTCAGGGCGGACCACCTGGGTACCTTGCTTCCCGAGGATGGGTTTTTCGTCGTCATCGTATGCGGATTCAAGCCGCGAATCAAACAATGCACAATAGAGCTGCTCACTAAGTGGCAGTGTGGGATCCTCCATGCTGTTGATGCCTGCTGGTGTGCTGGTCTACTGCGGTAAGCACTGGCATTCTATCGCTGGCTGGATTTCCCTGTGCTGTCTGTTAGGTATCTTTTGGCGCCAGCATGTAGTCTCAAGTCTCGAACATGTTATCATCTCAGCTGGGTTCTCGCGACTTTGCCCTTTGCTGGAGCAGCTGACGGTCCATGGTTCGGGTAAACGCACAGAATTCGGATGCAGTAACCCTACGCCGTCAGATCTTTGTATAGAACATCTCGAGACTTTTCTGAATGTTGTAGGAGCGTTATCGGACATGATATCGGAGGTCATTCGGGGTTGACGCCCAACCCCAGATGCTTAGTCAGACAATATCCCCCACACGGGTTTTTTGACTCAACTTTGAGAGGCCGAGAGCACCTGTGCTGCCCTCAGCGGAGACCCCAGGAGGTTGGGG